CAATTTGAGTGCTCTGATGAGCTCCGAGTTCTTTAAGGATATAAGGGGATAGTGAGATAGGGAGGGCATAACTGTAAACAAACATGAAAGAGAAATATATACTTGTCTGGGAAAAATGCTAATTCCTCTTTTAGCCAAGTTCACTAAACTAACCTTGAGCTCTGACAGAGGAAAACTGTCGATAGTTTGACGTCAGAAGAGAATTTTCTATGATATCTCACAGTGCCCCAAACCTGATTCTTCCTCTACTCTACTTTGTTTCTCCCTATTGAGAACCATGCTCAAACCAGAAGGGGATAAACAAATAATTTCAGGAGAGAAGCAGCAAACAGAGACCAGAAAGGACACTTAGCTGAGTTAAGTGAGTGTAAGTATGCAGATCTGGAAGAATTCGATGCAAAAGGGTAGAAGGAATTTTCAACAGTAGGAATCACCAATGGTTCACGACCAGAAACAAGCTCCAACAAAGTAGCCTGAGTTGGGTGGAATTTATAGACTAACTACTAAGGGATAGATAGATCAAAGGAACGCCATAAAGCTTGAATTTAGAAAGGCAATGCATAAGCTGGGTGCCATAGCTTAGTGGTTAGCATGTTGGCCTTGCATATCAGGGGTGGTAGGTTCAAATCCTTCCTGGGCCTGATTAATAACAACAAAAAGGCAATGGATAAAATACCTCTCGAAGTTCTCACAGGCACAGTAGAGACAAGAAGCTGACTGATATTTCTATTCTATGGCTTCAATGTTGACAGAAATACCAAGAATAAGGATTGCTACTTTTAAATTTATCCTAAGCTAACCAGAGGTTCTTTAGGGATAGATCATTGTGTGTTGAATTTCAATTACAGAAAACATGCTTATTATATCTTCAGAAGATGCCCAGGAGTTAATATGCTGTAAGATGAACTCAAGAGTCAGAAAGATCTAGACAGATTACAAACACAGGTTAAAATAAATAAGATAAAATGTAATAGGAATAATTTAAGTTCGGCCAACACTTACAAATACCAGGTAGAGGAACCATGGTTTCACAGGCCATTGAAAAAGAAATTTATCTGAAAGTTTTAACTGACTTTATGCTCAGAGTGAGCCAACACTATTTCATGGCTCAGAAAATCTTGACCTGTAGGCAAGACGTAGCTGAATAATAAGGAGCTTAGATCAATAATAATGAGATAATAATTTCATTATATGATGTCTTAATAGCTGCTATTCTAATTACACAATACCTGCTCAGCGTAAAACACTGACCCTACCTTAACCCAAATAATGAAAAAGAAAATAAAGACCACCCACAACTCCATCAGGAGAAGAGGGATACTATCTTCTTCTTGGTGTTTTATTCCAGACTTATCAGTAAGCATTGCAAATGTTCACACGTATTTTTCTTACAAAAAATAGGATCACACTAATAAATGCTATTTATTTATTTACTTATTTATTTTATTAAATCATAGCTGTGTACATTAATGCAATCATGGGGTACAATGTGTTTTTTTTTTTTAATTCAACAGTATATCAAGCCCCAGTAAGTTCTACTCTGGTCAAGCAACACCCAGTGCATTTGGTTCATTTCTAATCATATTTAGTCATTGCAAAATTTGAGAATATGCATGGGAGGAAAAAGAGGGTAGTGAAAAGTATGAAAATTTAAGCCCTTAAAACATATGTTCTATTGCCACATAAAAGGCTAATGGGAATGACAGCTTTTTTTTTTTTTTTGCACAAAAAAAGAATCATAAGAAAATAATACAGCTAAATACGTATTACACCTGGGGACTGTGCTGGCCTGTGAATTAGGCTGCTTTTTCCATCCATTGACCCATAGAGCCAATCTAGTACCAACTGCTGGAAGTTACAGGCAGAGAGATTTCAGCTCAACAAAAAGATAATTTTTTTTAATAATTAGAGCTATCAAATATGGAAGGGATCAAGTCATTGGCGGGTTTAATAGGGCAGGAATAATTGGCAAAGGCTGTTACAGAGAGGGAATTCCTGTACTAGGTGAGAAATTGAATGAAAGGCCTCCTTCTATTTGAAAATTCTGCAACTCTAATGGAAAACTTATTAAGGAAATTTACTCCCAGTACAATATGAAGCAAGTCTTTGGCAACTAAGGCCTTAAGAACTAGAGTCAGTATGAGAAATAATAATGCTAATCAGGAACCATGTGCTAAGGCCTTACATGCATTATTTTGTATCTCATTTAATCCTTACAACAATGCGATATGGTAGGTACTATTACTATTTCCACTCCATAGCAAAGGATAATGAGACTTAGAGAGGTTTTTATATTCATTCAAGGGCATTCTTTGTTTTGCTGAAACTTGGAGCGTCACCTGAGCACACCTAATTCCCCCTCATACAGCTACTGCTCGCTTAGGAGATATTACAATAAGTAATATCAACACCATCTTCACAGAAGTTCTTATCTAGTGAACCCTCAAGGGTAAATCATGAAATTTTTTCATTAGGAAAAAAATGCCAACGTTAAGGATTTTTTAACGAAATTATTTATAGCCAAAAACATGTTCAGATAGGACTATGTAAATTGGTCATGTATCTTGAACTTGTGTGAATAAAACAGATTCAATGAATAAGACTTAAGATGTGGTTAAAGTCAATCTGAATCACAGAATTTCAAACCTTTTCCATCTGTGAAAGAGGGATGGATCTCTTAAGGTTGATATGACATGAAGGAGGTGATACCTGTAAGCGTTTAGCACAGGGTCTGGCACCAACAGTATACAACACAAGTAATAAAGCAAATGGGAAAGAAATGCCTCATCTATTCCATAATTCATTCCAAAAATTAACAAAATGAAAGTATCATTATGTTTCACGGAGGAGGCACATTTACCATTATCCCATAAATAAATGTCTGATGACGATCATTTGCGCAATAAACGACCAGCAAATAAAATGTGCCTTCTGAGGAATTTCATTTTACGCAAAGGATCACCCCTAGGGTACGTACAATTTCAACCCTCATGTTCTTCAATGACACTGCTTATTCAGTATGAGATAAATAGATGAAAGCTTAAAGGTTATTGGTTTTGTGATTTTTACAACTTGGTTCAACCCCTGCTAATGAGCACATTTTTTTTTTTAATTTTATTGTTTTCTTGTTGTAGAGTTACTACTGCTACCGGTCACAATGTTGATACTTTATGTAATGTTCACTAACATCAAACAGTTGGTATTTCATTCCTAAAATTTGATATCTATTCTTTAAAAAAAAAAAAATGACAGAAATGGGTATTTAAAAGATGTTTGCCTTTGAGGTCTGTCGCAAAGATAGCCTTTTTAAGACATAATTTATTTCAGTAAAATTGAGTGAAGTTCTCACTATTCTCAAGGAATTCTTTACCATTTTTCAAAAACAAAAGCATAGCTAATTTTGGGAAAACTCTTTCAGCATTTAGGTTTCTAAACATCATTAATTTTACAACGGATGGATCCACTCCCAAGTATTTTTATTTTGCCTATAATGTAAAAGTATAACTAGATAAACTGCTTTTCTATAAATTACTAAGAGCAATCATCAGAGCTGTACTCTGAAATCCATACACACTATTTGTATTGGAAAGTTAAAATTATTTCACAAAGGGCAACACTCAAGAGTCATCTTCCCTAAGACCCCACTGAAAAAATGTCCCATAAATATTCATTGTTCTGAAATGAACTGTCACTCCAATAAAATGTCATTCTTAATGAGTGTATGTGATAACATATGACGCTTTTTTAAATCCTGTCAGCTATTTTTCCACCTAAATGTATTGCACTGTAATAGGAACTTTTCATTTTCCCTATTAGCCAGTACTGTAATTAATTACACCGTCTGACCACTACAACCTATGAGAACTTGCAGAAAGAACACAATGTCATCACCCAAAAGTTTGTATTAACTGCTGGTCAAAGGTAGCACAGAACAGTCCGTGAAAACCAAAAAAGAAAGAAAAAAATCACTTGGGCTTTTAAAATTTTTCACAAGTATAGTTGGGTTGTCTGAGAGATGTTTTAAGAAGAAGATATAAATGATGATTGATACCTCCAAAAATATCCGGATAAATGGAATGGCCACGACTTTAGAAACTCCAAAGCTTTCCTTGAACTGTATTTGGCCATCATCAATCCAACTTTTAAGTTAATAATTTCTCAAATATGCAAATCAACCCCTGCTATTTCTAAGGTACTGCCTGCTGAATAAAGACCTTGACATTTTTTTAAATGTCATCTTAGAAAGATTTTCCAAGCAATATTAGTCTCACCTGAACATCTTCACATTTAAAGGCCTGCACTCTATTCCATGCACACTATCCCAGTCTGGACCTGCTTTCCAATCTGGACGTGCATCCTTCCCTCTGAGATATGATAACCAAGTTTCACTGGGCTATGTCCAGGTAACCGAAAAGTACTACCGGGGCTGCCTCACCTGCCTCATCAAGTTTTACACACACCCTATACCGATGACACGTCATCAGAACGTTCACCTGCTTCGTTTTGTGGGATCGTAACCCACTGCACAGCAAACGCCTCTGCAAGAGAGGGTAGCAGCAACCAGAGGGTTTTGCAGGGTAATTGCATGCACTCAATAGCTTCTCTGCCAATTTCATTGAACTAGACAAAAAAAAAAAAAAAAAAAAAAAAAAGGCTGGGCTTAAAGCTGCAAATATATAATAAACACTGACGGGAAGCGGGTGAAACGCCGATTTTTTTCAAACAACACTAGTCCATGCCCAAGTTCTGCACCACAAGCTCAGAGAAAAGTAGCTTCCTGACGCATTGATGGAAGGCTATTTTAAAATTACTCAAAGAATCTAAGGCATCAGTCTGACTGGGAGGCTCATGCCTCCTCTCCACACACACAGTCTGTTTTCCTACCTAATTTAAGAATGAATCGCTGGCAGCCACCAGGTGCAATAACCGTGAGGAGGAGGACGCATATCCATCACAATGCATAACGAGGTGTGCCAGCCCCGAGCGGTGCCCGACCTTACCTTAGCAGATTAGACAGGGGCAGGGGGCCGGATCCGCCGCCCAGGATCCCTCCTTTCCTGCCAGACAGGAGTTTCTCCACCAGAGCCACATTTCCAGTGCGAGCAGCTTCCAGCAGCTCCTGGTCCTTCCCCATAGTCAGTCTCTCACCGACTCCCCACAGAGTCCTTCCCCCCCCTCGGGTCCTCCTCCCCACCCACCCCTACTCCCCCAAATCTAGGGCCCTCCTCGCCCCACCCTAAAATAATGCCCGAGCTTCAGCAGGAAGAGATCCCCGCAGCCCCGAGCTGGGAGCACCACTCTCTCCTCCTCTTCGGGGCGCAGCTTTTACAATGGGGAGCTGACCATGTCTTGGGAGGGGGGCTGGCCGAGCTGGGCGCCGCGACGCGCCCCCACAGCCACTCCCCTGAATTCCCGAGGCCTCCTTCCCGCGGGTGGGGCGTGAGGGGGTGGGGACTCGGGGTGCTTTTGAGGAGCGGGAGGAGGATGCTGAGGACTG